CAAAAAGCCCAAAAGAAAAAAACCCACATACAAAGAAACTAGAAACACACACACACACTCACACATACGTAAGGGGGTGGGTGGGAAGAGAGGGGCGGGGAAGGCCGAGCCCAGTGCCTGGACCTGGGGCGGCCCGAGTGTCGGGGGAGGGCAGTCAGCCCGAGCAGGGTGCTGTGCCTGGCTCTGAGCCACTAGCAGGGGCGCCTGCCTTCCTGCAAGCAGTGTCCCTGGGGGCCCCTCAACCTCGGGGGCTCGAGAAGGGGTTAAGCAGACCCATGGAAGAGGGAGAACTTGAGGAGGCCAGGGACAGTCTGGGTGCTGGAGTCTCTCTCAGAGCCTGGGACAGAACAGCTGGTGTCGCCATGCCATGTGAACACCTGGGGCAGCAGGCACAGGGGCAGGGCTGAGACCTGCAGGAAGTCCCTGGGCAGGACAGAGGGAGCTAGGTCCAGGTGTCGCGGTCCCTTGGTGCTAAGGAGACAAGGGCCAGGGACGGGTCAACCTTTGGGCACGCTGCTGGGGCCGGCCAGGCTGGCTGTCATGGCACTGGTGTCTGTGTCGTTGGCAGAGCAACACCGTGGTGCTGGGCTTGATGAATACCATCAACACCGTCCTGGACCACATCTCCTCCAACCTGCCGGTCAGCGAGTCCCAGGTCACCATCGCCGGCTCGTCCCCGGTGGCAGGTAGCTGTCTGTCCTGAGCAGGGGTCAATGAGATGTGTGGGGGTGCTTGTGGTGGCTGAGAGCAGCCCTGTTTTGAAGGACAATGTGTGGTTGGAGCTGGGACAGGTGTGTTTGGTCACAGGAGCACAGAAGACCACATTGGCCGTTCATGGTGGCACGGGAGCCACGTGCTTTCTGCGTGCCAGTTGTCCTGGTCCAAGCAGGAGCTGGACGGAGCTGCCCCTCCAGTGTGGGGGCAGAATCAGACCTCCCAGCCAGCTGGAGGTGGCCTTTCTGGGGCAGCTGTCACACAGTCCAAAGGTGGAGGTCTCCCAGTCCGAGGGTGGAGGGTAGGGCCTCACGGTTCACAGGTACAGGTCTGTTGCTCTGTGATGGACGCATGCCCACAGAGCCTGGTCGTGTCGCTGGTGTTGACCATGAGAGCCAGGTCGTGGGCGGTCGCTTGGCGGGGGGAGGGGTACATAGGTGAGTTTAGGGGCAGTTTCTTGGCCATGACTTCTGCCCCCAGCCGTGGTGCATTTGCTAACTTCTACCAGACAGGTCTCCTGTTTGCCTTCTCCTGTGTCTGTGTGGTTCCCCGGAGCTTGGAGGGGGCAACTGCACTCAGCACGCGGGGTTGTCCTCCCAGCCACACACAGTCCACTGAGTGTGCAGGGCTGTGGTGGGGCTGGGGTCATCTCAGGGAAAGAGTGCGTCCCCAGGGGCCGGGAGCCCCGCCGCCAGCAGCTGTCACGCCCGGCGGGCCCTTGCTTCCTGAAGGCGATGGTGCCCTAGGGGAGCTTGCTCCGTTGCACCGAGAAGCAGCAGCTGGGGCTTCACAGCCCACTTCCTGCGGCCGGAGGGCTGGCTGACTGCACCGCGGTCCTCGGTTTGTCCACCCTGCAGACTTCTCCGTGGCTAAAGTCCTGCCCAGGACCATGAACATCTCCCACTACCGCTTCCCCGCGCAAGGACTGAGCTACATCGAAATCCCCCACGAGGCCCTGCACAGCCAAGGTGAGTGTGGCTGTGCGGCCCCTGCACCTGCCTCCCCCCGGAAGGCCCAGACCAGGACTTCCGGAAGCGTCTGAGAGTGCTCAGTGGGATACCCACGTGCCGCTGACCAGCGGACGCCTCCTGACCGGGCCCTGGTCACTGACTGTGCAGTGGTTCTCAGAGTGCGTCCTTGTGGAAACCCCCGGATGGCCCTTCCTCCTTCGGGGCCACTGCAGACCAGCTGACGTGGAATGAATGCCCGGGAACCTGCATGTTAGTGTGCGCCCCTGCTGAGCGTGGCCCACCCTGAGGGCCCGCACGTGTCCTCCCAGATCTGCAGCACCCCTGGCCAGCCAGATGTGACTGATGGGCTGTTCAGGGTGGCAGCTGGTGAGGTAGTGGGGGGAGGGGTGTATGCTTTGCAGGGCTCCAGGGGCACTGTCAGGCCCCAGCGGCCCTGGCTCTTTTTGCTGTGGTGACCATGGTCCTCTCTGGCTCTGCAGGTGTTCCCCCCACCCCACTCCCCACCCCAGGAGGTGTGGATCTCACCAGATTCCCTGGCCAGAGGCCACACTAACACCCAGGGCCCTGACCTCGGCATGGGGACCAGGCCAGCCTGTGTCCAGCGTTGCTGTCTCCCAGCAAGGAGCCACCTGTGCTCCTCCACCTTCCCATCTGCCCATGGGAAGGGTACCTGGGCTGCTCACCTGGCCTCGGCTGCTCCCAGGGGTAGGCACCGCCCAGCAGCCTCACAAGTGACCCTCACTGCCCGGCTGTGGGAGCGAAGAGAGGGTCTCAGGCTTTCAAAATGGCTGAGTCACGGCCTCGTGTTCTCGACTCATAGAAACTGCTCCTGCTTGGGCTGGCACCGTGGGTCACTTGGTTAATCCTCCGCCTGCAGTGCCGGCATTCCATATGGCGCCGGGTTCTAGTCCCAGTTGCTCCTCTTCCAGGCCAGCTCTCTGCTGTGGCCCGGGAGGGCAGTGGAGGATGGCCCAGGTGCTTGGGCCCTGCACCCCATGGGAGACCAGGAGAAGCACCTGGCTCCTGGCTTCAGATCAGTGCAGCGCCAGCCGTAGCAGCCATTTGGGGAGTGAACCAACAGAAGGAAGACCTTTCTCTCTCTCTCTCTCTCTCACTGTCTAACTCTGCCTGTCAAAAAAAAAAAAAAAAAAAAAGAAAGAAAGAAAGAAAGAAAGTGCCCCTGCTCAGCAGCCAGGAGCTCCCACGCCGTGACCAGAACTCTGGTTCTGCTGCTTCCTGCTGTGTGGCCTTGGCCAAGTCATGAACCCGCCTGTGCCTTGGATTCCTGCCTAAAAGCCGGGGCATACTTTGTGCCTGGCCACGGTGTTCCCGCAAGGATGAACTGAGCAGAGCACGGTGACAGAGCCCGGCACACAGTGGCAGCCGAGTTGGTAAAAATGTGGGGAGACCTTAGCATACTTAGAGAGGCACCCCCAGAGGACGCGGGAAGCCAGCAAGCGTCTTGCTCCTCCCAGCGCCCCGTTACGCTCACGTGTGTGCAACTCCCATCTCAGATGTGGGTGTGCCTGTGGCCGTCGGTGCTCGGTCTCCAGATGGAGAGTAGGACGTGCCGCCCTGGACAGCTCAGGCGGGGCCACTGTGCCCTGGCAGGCCCTGGAGGCTCGGGGCAGCCGCACCTGCAGGTCTGGGTGGGCCCTGCAAGCCCAGAGCCAGTGCCCCTGCCTGGGCACCTTGCGTTTTCCTCGCACGGGAGCTCCCTGGTTCCTGGGTGTGAGGGCTGTGCCACGCGTGGCTGGGCGAGGGGTGCTGTGCTTCTCCTGCCCGCCTGCCTCTGGCGACACTGACAGCTGCCCCTGCCCGTCTGCTCTGCCCCCAGCCTGGACCACCATCGTGGGCCTGCTGTACCACACCATGCACCACTACCTGAACGACATCCCTCCGGCCAGCACCAGGTGAGTCTCGGTGGGGGTGCACGTGTGTGCTGGGCGACACCCCCACGCCATCATACACACGCCCCAACTTTGTCCGAGCCTCGGCGCCAATGCCCTCAGAGTGAGGTTGAGTCACAGCCCCCGAGGAAGACGTGGGGGCTCCCGCAACGGGGCTTGGCAGGCAGACAGTGCAGTGTCAGGAGCACAGGCCGGGAGCCCCCACGGACCCTGCCTGCGTCTCTATGACAGGCCTCAGTTTCCACTTCTGAAGAGCGGGAGGTCAGCAGATCTGGCCACATTAACTTGGACGTGGATCCTGCGGGAGAAGCCAGCTCACATCAGCGTAGGCAGAAGGCCCGGGTGCTGGGGGCCTGTGGGACCAGGACGGGCGGGAGCAGGTCGGCTTCAGCCACGGCTGGACTCAGGAGCCAGACAATGCCATCTGGCCCCGTGAGGCTCACCTCTGGGCAGGACCTGTGGGGCGGAGCTGTCCCCTACAGCTTCAAGTTCCCATAGCCTTGGATCCTGAGCTCCCAGGAGGAGGGAACCCAGGGAGGACAACGGCCCCTCCCCTGCAGGGCTGAGCCCAGGAGAGCAGAGGCCTGCGGCAGGGCACGCCATGTCCTGCGGCTCCTGCTGATGGGAAGGCACCCCGGGCCGGCCTCGCGGCCAGGCGTCCGCTCTCCTCGGCAGTGGACGTCCGGCAGAGGGTGGGCCGCCTGCAGAAAACGCGAAGCCCCTGCACTAGGACCGCACACCCAAGCCCTGCCCATCTGTGCAGGGCAGTCCGCGTCTTGCCGTGGGTCTCCTGGGCCTGGTTCCAGGGAAAGCCCGGGTTCGGCGGGGTCCCTCGTAAGGACCGACCTCGGACAGAGAGGGTGTGCTACTCTTGGTCTGTGACTTCCAACACTCTTCAGGAAGTGGTTGGAGGAAAATGCAGTCTGTTCTCAAAAAGACGTCATCTCGAGTGTTTTGGGCTCACGAGTGAAGAATCCTGTTTCTGAAGCCGTGGGCGTGACCTTTAGCTTTCTGGGGAGATGAGCCTGAGGCCCAGTGTGGGTGTCTGCAGCACCCTCCCACTCCGCTCCCCTCCCCCGCAAGAGGAGAGGCAGGGGAGTCATCAGACGCCAGGGTGTGCAGGCACAGCACGGGCCCTCGGAGCTCTGCTGTCCACGGGCAGATCGTCAACCCGGTTGGCTTTGCGAAGCTCTGCTCGTGCCGTGTGTGAGCAGTAGTGTGACTGTTCCGATAAAGTTTTATTGACAAAGCCAGGCAGCCTGCCGTGCCAGTGCGAGCTTGGCTGGGTGGAGGGGAGGCTGGCGCGCCCAGCTTTGGGGAATCCCAGGCCTCGCTCGAAGCTCACCACGTGGTGCAGTTTTTGCTGTCCACAGGGGCTCAGCCTCTGCACAGAGGGCCCCTGGCTCGGGACCCAGGCTGCTGTGGTCCACTGTCCCTGCAAATCGAGGGCGCAGAGACCCAGACCGCACAATGACTGAGTCCAGTCTCGGCGCTCGTTAGCGTCAGCTCTCCTGCACAGTGCGGATCCTGCCGCCGGCAGCTCAGCGTGCCGAAGCCAGGAGAGAGCAGCTGTGCGGCGCTGAGAGTGCGCTCTTCACTCTCCCCCGTTCAGCAAGGCTGGCTCTGGCGTGGGTGACGCGCTCAAGCCAGCAGCTAACGCAGAGACAGCTTGTGGTCACGGCTGGTCTCGGGACAGTCACCCAGATTGCTGAGCGGGCAGAGCCCCTGGGCTGTGAGGACTGTCCCTGGCGGGGGTGCTGAGGTGCCGCCCGGGGCTGGGCGCCGCCCTGGCTCTGCCTCTCCTTGGGCACAGACTTGGGCTCTGCACCTGCGCTGTCCTCTCTGAATTGGGAGTTGCAATAGCACTGGGGCCACCGAGAGGTCGGTTGATTGTTGAAATAACGCGTGGCGCTCCAACACCAAGCGCAGGAGCTTGCTTTGGGATTTCCTAAGACAAATGGGTGTGTGTGCCGTTTTGCATCTAAGAAAGCGCTCACATTCCAAGCATGGCTTGGGGTAGGTTTGCTGCATTTCAGGGCTCTGCTGGCCTGCAGGGGGCTTCAGTCAGCTTTGGTCTTCCGCACTGTGATCTCCATCCACGTGGGATTGCCACAGGGAGGGAAAGAGGCCTGGCCTGGCTTCACGGGCGACGCTGACGATGGCACACACAGACACAGCGACACCTGGGAGTCACTGGGGCCAGCTCTGTGTGTCTGTGGACCTGGTCAGGTTCCCAGCCAACGATGTCACACACAGACACAGCGACACCTGGGACCTGGTGTCACTGGGGCCAGCTCTGTGTGTCTGGACCCAATCAGGTTCCCACTGCCGTGAGCCCGTGTGGTTTAAGCTGGGGGTTGCTACGTCCAGTGACTGCAGAGAGGGCCATGGCTCGTAGCGCACCTGATCTCTCAGGGCTGCATCTCACGGGGGCAGGGAGCTGATCAGAAAAACGCAGTGGAAACGGCTCTTCCAGGGCTACAATGGAAACGAAAGTGGTCAAACAGCGTGGGCTGGAGTGATGGTCTCTGTTCAGTTTCCTTTTTAATTTTTTTAAAAATTGATTTTTTAAAAAATTTTTGACAGGCAGAGTGGACAGTGAGAGAGAGAGACAGAGAGAAAGGTCTTCCTTTGCCATTGGTTCACCCTCCAATGGCCGCCACAGCTGGCGCGCTGCGGCCGGTGCACCGCGCTGATCCGATGGCAGGAGCCAGGAGCCAGGTGCTTCTCCTGGTCTCCCATGGGGTGCAGGGCCCAAGCACCTGGGCCATCCTCCACTGCACTCCCTGGCCATAGCAGAGAGCTGGCCTGGAAGAGGGGCAACTGGGACAGAACCCGGCCCCCCGACCGGGACTAGAACCTGGTGTGCCGGCGCTGCAAGGCGGAGGATTAACCTAGTGAGCCGTGGCGCAGGCCAAAAATTGATTTATTATTTATTTCAAAGAGTGACATAGAGGGAGAGACAGAAAGAGAGATCTTCCATCCCCTGGTTTACTCCCCAGGACTGGGCCAGGCTGAAGCCAGGAGCCTGGAACTCCATCCGGGTCTCCCCTGTGGGTGGCAGGGACCCAAGCTCCTGAGCGTCGGCAGGAATCTGACTTGGAAGCCTGGAGTCAGCTGGGACTCCACAAGGTACTGCAGTGCGGGTGTGGGCACCGAGCGTGTCCTAACCAGCTGCACCATGCTGCCCACCTTCGAGTTTCCGGTTTTGAAATCTGTGTTTTACTCCTCGTGTGTCGTCTGGATTTGCAGCTGGGCAGCGGCAGCCTCCCTGGAGGCACAGTCCGTAGAGCTGTCAGCTGTCAGCGTCCTCGCCCGGCGTCCTTGTCCATCCCCTGGTCCTGGCACGGAGACGCCCGCGCCCTGCTCCAGGCTCGGCCTCCGGGGGTCCGGCAGGAAGTGTCCTCTTCAGGGAGAGATGCCTTCATCGGCTGGGTGCCGCCACCCCCAGACACCCACGCGCTTGGGAGGCCTGCCTCTTCTCGGGGACACAGGCAGAGTCTGCAGAGGTTGGGGCAGGGCACGTGCTGGGGGCCGACAGAACAGGGTTGGGAAAAGCCGATTGGGCGAGGGAAAGCAGTGCTCCCAAGGCCCTGCCAAGCGTTCCGAGATGGCTCCGTGGGCACAAGCGTTCTGAGATGGCTCCGTGGGCACAAGCATCCGAGATGGCTCCGTGGGCACAAGCATCCGAGATGGCTCTGTGGGCACAAGCACATGGGACTGTGCACGCTCAGCCAGCATGTAGTTCACAAACACCGGGCGGTGCACGGGGTGCGGACGAGCAAGACGCAGCAGACGGCAGGGTGACTGCGGGTGCGCCGCACAGCTGCCTCCAAGTCCCGTCGCTCGCCAACAGCTGGGTGCTGGGTGGGGCTGTAGCCAGCAGCCCAGGGCACGGCCCTAGAAGCTGCGGGTGCTCTCCAGGCCCTGAGCACGAGCCCTGCCTTCAGTCTGGCACCCAGGTGCTGGGATAATCCTGTCCCGTCCCGACCCTGGCGCCGGCCCTGGCCCTGAACAGCGTTTCACTAACTCCCTAGACACAGTCGGTTCGGCTTCCTCAGCTGGGTGGTGACAGGACACCGAGCTTAAAAATGGCTTTCAGCAAACGGATTCACTGGGTCCTGTAACCTGGACGCCCATGGGCACCGGCTCCAGGGGCAGCTCGATCCAGCCCCCGGCTGACGTCCCACGGGCCCATCTCTCGGCTCTTCCTCAGGGTGGGCTTGCCTCGCCATCATAAGTCTCTCCTGGGACCTCATCTCTCGGGGCTGCTGTCTGGCAGACACGTCTCAGACCCTGCGTTCTCTGCCGGAAGCATGTGGCTCTCTGGATGTCACCGGCTGGTGTGCCCACCCGGAGCAGCCACCATGAGCGAGGAGTGCACGCGCTCAGAGCTGGACACCAGGGCTTGCTCCCGAGCCAGCCGCGGGGCCGACAGTGCAAGGCTGCAGCTGGACGCCTGTGTGTGTGTTGGGGGGCAGGGAGCGGGCCCTGCAGAGGTCCTGCAAGCAGTGTTTATCACGCTGCGTTATCAGCAGGGTCGTTGAAGTCCCGGCAGGGTGGGTGGCCTGCCAGGGTCACGTGGCTGTCCGTGGGGTCGAGCCCCATTCGCTTCAGCTCTCCCGGGCCTCCTTGGTCACAGGGAGGCCACTTGCATGCCCTGGTGCCAGCAGCAGGCCCTAGCGAGTGCAGACACGGAGGGTGGAATTCACATCACAGCACTGGAGTGCCGAGCAGGCGAGGCCGACGCCAGGCCCCGGCACCGAGCCTTGGAGAGCAGCAGGTGCCCAAGGACGGAAAGTTCTACCCAGAGATCTGGGTCCGGGCAGCCTTGGGCTGAACGGGCCACACTCCGGGCAGCCTTGGGCTGAACGGGCCACACAGAGCCCACACAGAGGCCACGCAGAACACGCACAGCCCACACAGAGGCCACGCAGAACACGCACAGCCCACACAGAGGCCACACAGAACACGCACAGCCCACACAGAGGCCACGCAGAACATTCAGCCCACACAGAGGCCACACAGAACACTCAGCCCACACAGAGGCCACGCAGAACACGCACAGCCCACACAGAGGCCACGCAGAACATGCACAGCCCACACAGAACACGCAGAACACGCACAGCCCACACAGAACACGCACAGCCCACACAGAGGCCACGCAGAACACTCAGCCCACACAGAGGCCACGTAGAACATGCACAGCCCACACAGAGGCCACGCAGAACACGCACAGCCCACACAGAGGCCACGCAGAGCCCTGCCTGCCCCTCCCCCCTCATTCCCGGGTTCAGTGATTTTCCGTTGATTCCCCAGGATCTCCGAGGCCGTGGTGTACAGAGACTGCTTGCTGTCTGCCACCAGCTACCTCATCTCCCTGGAGGTCTCCCCACCGCCGACTCTCGCCCAAAACCTGTCCGGCTCTCCCCTCATCGCCATCCACCTCAGGCACAGACTGGTGAGTCACGGAGGGACGCCCGGCCGTCTGTGGGGCTGGGAGGAGTCACAGGCGGCTTTGGGGGCTGGCTGAAGCTGGTCCCTCCCCCTCCTCCGAGTTCCTGTCCGATTAACTCCGTGGGTGGTCTGCAGTGGGACCACGGAGGGGAGGGGGGTGGCAGGTGGCGACCTGGGTGCCGAGGCCCCCGAGGCCGGAGGTGGCTCTTGCGCAGCAGTGGTCATGGGTGTTTGGTTGATAGCAGGAGCCCCGCAGGCGCCGCGGGGTAAACTGGGCCATTCTCAGTGGCCGCACGTCACAGCCCTCGGCAAGATGAAGAGCTCTGTTGTGTCCAAGAGACACGTGCTCGGGGCCAGAGAGAAGCCGTCGGCACACTTCAGCTTTTGCGTGATGAGCTGTGCGTGCGGCTCTGTGGTTAGTCTGTCTCTGTTGTGGATGAGAATGGCAGAGACACCGGCACAGGCACAGGCACAGGGGTGCCGCCCTCCTGGAGTCGCACAGAGCCCCTCCCAAGCAGGTGCTCTCCTGGGCGCTGGTGCTGGTGCAGCCCTCGTCTGCTGCCAACCACGCTGAGGGAGCACAGGTCTGCAGGCGGCAGAAGCCTTGGTTGCATTTGGAGGACGTATTTGCCCCTGTGGAGGAGGAGCCGGTGCGCCACAGCAGGTGTTCTGGACGTGGGGCTCGGGGGACGTGGGCAGCGAGTCAGGACCAGACCCTGAATGAGGCAGCAGCAGGGCAGGGCAGGGCAGCTTCGGGGTGGACAGCCAGCGCCTGGTGGTGGCCAAACGCCGAGTGGGGTCGCAGGTGCATATCCACGCATGTACATGCCCCCAACACACACACACGCCCAGGATACACATGCGATACTCAACTTGTACACGTGTGTGCACGCATGCATGCAAGTGCCAGACCCAACACACACAGCATACATGTACACACACAACCCAGTGTCCACACACACCCAGTACACATATACACGCACCCATGAATACACACATGCGTGCACAAACCCAGCCCCAGCACACCATGAACACACGCAGCACACACACCCCTTCCTTGTTGGGCTAGGCTGGTGTGAGCCTTGGGATTTGGAAAGTGGGGGCTGGTTTGCCTGGGGATGTGGCACGTGCCTCTCTTAGCCCAGGTCCTCACATGCTCGCATCTTGTACGTCGGGCCCCTTCGCCCTCACTGTATGTCCTGGAAGTCGCCCAGACTGTTCACCGATCAGTCCTCGCCCGTCACGCACCATGGGGGGTCTTTCGTCCCCTCTGCCACTTAGGGGCCCCTACGTCCCTTCCAGCTCTTGGCAGTGAGCGGGTGGTTCTGTGAACAGCCGAAGGTGTCTGTTTCCTGCTTGGAGGTGCAGCCCATCTCCCAGATACTGTGGGGGGTTGGCGTCTGCCTGGAGTGGGCCCCCTCCCCCAGCAGTGAGTGACAGTGGACAGAGAGTAGGGGAAGACAGCTGTGGTCCCTTCCAGGGCATGTCCAGCCAGATGCCCTCCTCTGCCCTCTCACGATCCTGGTACCTGTGTGTTTGACTCGTTCCTGGAGGTACAAGGTCACGGACTGACATGGAGTCCATGGGAAAGATGAACCAACTCCCCCAGTTAGCACCGGCGCCATCTGTGTAGGGGTTTGGGGAGTGGCCAGCCTGGATTAGCTGCCCCGGATGACAGGACGGACATTCCTGCCCCACCACAGTGCGGCCTGAGGAGGCGTTGGTGCAGGAAGCAGGTGCAGGTGGCTCAGGGACAAGCGGGCAGCCCCCGGCGGGGGGACCAATGGACTGTTGACCCCTTAGTATGCTGGGTCCTGGCCGATGGGGGTCACTGGTGGCTTCTGGTGGGACTTGAAGCCAGCGGGGCTGCGGGGACTGCCGAAGCCACTGTGCATCTTGGGAGCCTGTCTTGTGCCCCCTTAAGGTCACCATGTGGCCTTCCAGACGCAGGAGGCTAAGGCGAGCGTCCCCAAAGGCAATCTGGTGAAGAAGGCCCTGGCTGGATTCGCCGGGACCTTTCTCTCGCTGGCTGTGGGCAGCTTGCCGGAGGACAGAGTGGGCGCCCGCTTAGCTGCAGGGGGTTCCTGGCCGTGCCAGCCATGGCACTGTTGATGGGGGCTTGGGAGCAAACGGTGTATTTCTATTTTTATTTTTTGTCTTCCGTGAAGTAAGGAGGGTGCCGGTTTGCAAACCAGAGAAAAAGAGAGGGTGAAAATGCAGTTCCTGTTTCCGTGGCCAGCTGCTGCAGTTATTTTTAAAAAAGAAAGTGTTTGAGTCCGGAGTCCTGTCTGGAAGGGAGGCGTTCTGCGCTGCGGGCGGGGCTGGTAATCAGAGCCGGTCTCCGCCAAGCGCTCTCTGGGGTTCTGGGCTTCCTTTTGAAGGCCGCGTTTGGAGTTCTGGGGCCGTTTTAGAAGCAGGCTCTGCCGGCCTGGAGCGAGCCGCCTGCTGGGAGCATTTTCCATGGAAGTCCCCGAGGGGCCCAGAGGGCGGGGAGCCCACGGCGGCCCCCTCGACTCCATCAGGGAAGGGGGCATAGAGGCCACCGCCCATCTTCCAACACGGTGACGGGGCCCAGTCCCGAGATCAGGGCTGAGGCCTGGAGGGGGGTGTGAGTTTGGCAGGGCCTTGAGGGACAGGGGTGCACTCTGCACCCCCACGCCCTGCCGCTTCCCTGGACTGAATGCCTGCAAACCCACTGGATCTGGGCCCCTTTCCAAATACGGTCAACCCCAGCAGTGACTCTGGACCTCAGGCTACAGAGCAGAAGCAGGGCCTGCAGGCCGTGAGCCCAGCCCTCGTGCAGACGGGGTGTGTGTGTGTGTGTGTGTGTGTGTCTCCGATGCAGCTGTCACAGGGCGCGGTTGCTGTGTCCGGCTTTCCCAGGGCCCTGCGAGGTTGCGGTTTTGCTGTGCATTCCCTTCTGAGCCGACAGAATCCACCTCCTCCCAAAGTGCCTGTCGTGGGGCCTCACTGGGTCGTCACCGAGGTCAGCAAGTCTGCGTCCCGTCTCCCAGATAGGCGTCTGGGGAGTGGGTTCCAGACACTTCTGCTTGGGCTCCCGGGTAGGATTGTGTGCACAGAACAGACGGAGACGAGCCTTGGATGGGGTGAATCCGGCTCAGGCCCTCTGCAGTCTGCTGTCTTTCAGGTGCCTCCCTCCCACCGGCCATAGTCCTGGCTTCTCAGGCCCGGGATGGCAGTGGCAAGACCCCGATGCCAGGCCCTGTGCTGGGGTCAGCCTGGCACCGTCAGACGCTGAGCAGTTCCCCGGCTTCTGCCTGTTCCGGGTCAGACCTCACCAACGTCTCCCCCCAAGGATGCCGCCCTGACTCGCAAGCTGTCCCGCGGCACCTGGTTGCCCTGTCCTGTGTGTCCTGTGTGTCCTGTGTCCGTGTAAACGTGCCACTGTCTGAGAGCCTGGATTCCCACGCTGGCCCTCTCGGGTCACGTCCCCTTTGCTGTGCCCCTGAGAGTGCAGCATTGAGAAGGGGACCTCAGGGTAGGCGTGCAGGGCCTGACTCTGGGAGGCGGGGCCGAGGCTGGCAGCTGTGTTTCTCTGGGGTTTGCTGTGAATGTGAACCAGGAGTTTTACCCGAAACGAGAGTGTTTTCGTCCTGTGGTCACTGTGTGGTGCCCTCGGCAGGTGGAGGTCCCTAGACATGGCTAATTAGCAAACACACGTGGGCACGTGTGTAGGACGTATGTAGACAGAAGCACTCAGATACGCTATTTACCAACCACATGCGTGGGCGCCTTAGCGTACATGTAGACGAGGGTGCCCAGGGGTACTTTTCATTTTTTAAGATTTATTTATTTATTTGAAAGGCAGAGTTAGAGCGCTTTTCCATCCGTCGGTTCATTCAGACCATGCCTCACTGGGAAACGCGGCACCCTGGCTGAGCCACGCTCTGGGGGAGGTGCCGTTGGCTGATTTCATCGTCGTCTACTCGCACAGACGTGGGTGGTGGGACCTGCACACCTGGGCTGCACGCAGCAGCCTCTGTGCAGACGTGGCTGTGGTTGACAAAACATCATGATGTGGCGTGTGACTGTCACATGCTCCCAGAAGGGAACACACGTGTATGTGCAGTGTGACACAGTGTGGCCAGACCCCTGGACTCCCCATGACCAAGCGACAGAAAATGCCCAGCACCCCAGAACACCCGTCCCACACACTGCTATGCATAGTTCTGCTGGGACTTTTGGTGAATGTGTGTATGCATTTCTTTTTAAAAAAATTTTAGTTTAGAGGCAGGCAGACACACACACACACACAGAGTTCCCCCATACTTATTATTATTTTTTTTTTTTTTGACAGGCAGAGTTAGACATTGAGAGAGAGAGACAGAGAGAAAGGTCTTCCTTCCATTGGTTCACCCCCCAAATGGCTGCTATGTCCGGCACACTGCGCCAATCCGAAACCAGGAGCCAGGTGCTTCCTCCTGGTCTCCCATGCGGGTGCAGGGCCCAAGGACCTGGGCCATCCTCCACTGCCTTCCCGGGCCACAGAAGAGAGCTGGACTGGAAGAGGAGCAACCGGGACAGAATCTGGCGCCCTGACCGGGACTAGAACCCGGTGTGCCGGCGCCGCAGGCGGAGGATTAACTTAGTGAGCCGCGGCGCTGGCTCCCCCATACTTATGATAGCCCAAGCTGAGCCAGGTCAAACTCAAGAGCTGGGAACGCAATCCAGGTCTCCCATATGAGTGGCAGGAGCTCAATTACTTGAACCATCACCTGCTGCCTCCCAGGGTCTGCCATTAGCAGGAACCCGAGCTGGGAATTGAACCCAAGCTCTCCAATGTGCATGCCTCTATGTTTGGTGGACACCTAGGAGTGGACTTGCTGGGTCATGGGGTGTGCATCTGTTCAGCGGTGGTAGACAACGCCATGCTGCCTTTCGGTTCCGTTGTCCGGGCGCCAGTGGCTGGGGTCGCCACTCTGTCCATTTTGGCCGTGCAGGGTTTGATTTGTTTTTCCCTCGTGACTTTGATGACCTTGTCAT